TATGTAATTTGAAAACAATTTAGTACATAAAATTAACTGTGCTTAAAGGAATTCCTATAGATTTTCAAATAGTTTAATATTCTAAAAAAGATCATTATCTATGAACCATTGAAAGTTATACAGTTGTCATAAAATTGTAATAAAAAAAGGGTTGTAATCTTTAAAGGAAGGAAAATGTTCTTTAGGAATTTAAACCATAAAATATAAAATGTTATTGTGAAATTACCTGATGTGTTTATAATAAAAAAGATGAGTGTAAAAGCAGCTTTAATTTATGCTGGAACATTTTTAAATGCAATATTCTTGAACTTGATAAAAACAATTTTATGAATGCTTTTATATGTTTTTTATCCTCAAAGGTATTGCTTTATATTTTAGTTCAAGGCTTAGAAACGTCCTTTTACACTTCTAAAAATAATTTATTTTATTGTCTGATTAGATAACATTTTCCCCATTTTTTAATATTTACACTATATGATTAGTCTTAACCATATGTTAAAAATAGCTTTTGACAAACTTTTCATTTTCATGCTCACAAAATAAATAATATATTAATTAAATAAATTTTCATATTTATCAATGATTTATTACAGCTAACTTTTTAATTAGAAAACTCTTTTTGATCAAATAAAATAACCAGACTAATGGTAAGGTATCTAAACAAACATATTTTTCAGACATTAAAAATCAGACTCAAGTATTCTATTTATTATTACAAAAATCATAAAGGCATTAAATATTAATAAAAGCCGTGTGTCATCAGTGTGAACTTTTATTAGTGTGAGTTCATATCAGTGTGGGCTCTTAGTTCGATGCGCAATGGAGTATTTGCCATATGGGCAATTATCACAATGGAGTGCTTTTTGCTGTCTTTTGTTGTGTGTACTTTCGTCCATCTCGCCCATTAATTTCCTAGGAAACTGAACATTACTGAAAGGTTCATTCATCATGAACTGTGTGTGCTTAATTAATCGGGGTTTGACTGTATAGGCTTCATAAAAGTCTTTTAGATCATCTGTAGCCTTTTAAGGAATTTAATTTTTAATTTCTTTAAGAAACTGAACAGGGTTATTTAAAGCCAAAAAAGATAGTGTTATGCAAGTTAACAAAATGTAAAGCAGTGACTTAGAATTTTCTGTATGCACATTGCAGGCCTTCTCTCCCAGTCAGCTTTGTGCCAGTCAGCAGATTATAAAATTAATTTGCATATTCATAAATTCTATTACTGTTTAACCTAAAACATAATACTGTAAAATATTTTCAGTAAAGCATTCACTAGGTTCTTTCAGGTGCATTAAATTTTTGTGTGTTGTATTAGAAGTAATGCTGAAATCATCATGAATGACAGTATACTTAATATGAAATATTATGTAATATATAATTAATATTGCATTCTTTAACTGTAAATTTATTCTTTGTATACTTTTATTACCATCTTCTCTCTATATGTAGCTCACGTAGATATGAGTACTTCCCCTTGAATATGAAATGCTTAAATCACAAATTTGCACTGCCTATTTTTCTTATCAGATTTTACTTTTCTTGAATTTTGATCCTAAGCATAAAGTTCTAATCACACACACACACACACACACATATATATATGCATATGTATTTCAGTAAAATTTATCTTTTAAGGTCCCTGGACAGCAAAATGTCCAAAGAAATTACCTACCATTATGTACAAAATTCATGAAGATACTGCAAAACAAATTTAAATGCATGGTTTTGACCAAAACTAAATATTTTTTTTAATTTTCCCTAAACCTTAGTAGTTGCAAAACAAAACCTTGTTTTAATAACTGATAAATCATCTTGAGCAAAACAGTTATTAACTGTGTGGCTGGGCTGCGAGAAATTATTAATTATTCTTATTTCATTGAATTTTGCTCATGTCAAATTTAATAGAATATGATGAACTATGTACCAATTGTACATTTTGTACCATGGGCACTGAATGGAAAGTTAAATTTTGTGTTTGCAAAATTGTTCACGAAATATGACTTCACCAAAAATGTATATAAATTAGAGTGGTTTAGTGTTAACAAATATGATGTATATGCATATTTCTTATTTAATTATTTAAGTTTCACCCATATAATTAGATCAGAGTGTAAAAATGAGCCCAAGATGTGTTTTGAAACCCTAGTATTATGCTGATTTGACCTGATATGCTTTCTTTGATTTATTGTGCTACCTAACAGAACCTTTTATTACTCTATAGCACCGTGGGAGCCACCAGTGACTGGCACGTGATCAATGATCAATAGTAATCTGCATAATCATAAAAATCTGCATAATTATATTAAATATCAATACTGATAAATTTTTAAATAGTACTATTGTTACTCTAGTGGTTTGAAGAATAATAAATTGCAGAAATGGTCTACAGCGGGTGACCCCCCCCCAACCACAAAAATTGCTGTAAACACCCTCTCTGTTTACATATAACTCTGTTTATCTTCTGTAGATAATGCTTGAATATAATATACATTGCATAATAAAAAATTCATGTTGGTGCCATGGGCAAACCACGGAAAATATGCAGGGCGGTCAATGTGTTAAATTAGTCATGACCGAATCATCATGTGGAGTAGAATGTCCTTTGTTTGCCATTACCAGGTTCTCATCAGCATCAAAAGCATTATTAACTGAAATGTGATATCAGAAGCAGAGAAGTCACTTTTCATATAAGTATATTCTATCAGTCTTGAAGAGATAATTACATTCAGTATTTGTTCCCATTTTGTAGGGAAGAGAACTGCTTCCCATTCATATTAGAACAGAGGTTCTGAACCAGGGAGAAAATTTTATAGTTTCAGAAGGGAATGTGGTCAGTCTTTAAACTGTTAAGTATTTAGTTTAAGTTTATGAAATTAAAACTACTTTTATTTAAGTTTTGGTATTTATTAACATTTTCTATTCTTTTTCGTTGTTTAATTTATAAAGCACTTTTAAAATGAATATGTATGTATTTTTGGAGTTTTGAAAAAAGGAGGGGTTGATGATCATCTAGCAATGATGAAAGAGGTACATTTGGCAAAAGAAGTTGAGGATCATTGCAGTAGAATATAATTTGAAAACTGTTTCAGGTGAATGTTACATTTGCATAAAAAGTGATAAGTCTGTGCTTCCATGAATGTAACCAGAATGCACTGCTCATTATTTGGTGATAACTGTAAAGCTGCAGCATTGTGGTATAATATATAATTTCTGATGTGGAGCTTTAAGGTGTACATACCATCAGATCTCATTTTCTATGCTTGCATGCCTAGCTGGGATCCTGAATAGCCAGCACAATGAGTGATTACCTGCCTTTATAAGATCTCTAAGACTATTTTGTAAGAAATAATCTTGTGAAAATCTTGTATAATGCAAATCTTGTGAAATATAGAGTATACTGATTTTTTGGGGCTGAGGGGGTGCCTGGTAGAAATTAATTCTTCCTTGCCTTATTTATTCCTTGTTATCGTATAATTTAGCTATGAGTTTTTTGTGCAAATATTGAGTAATGTGGTTGCAGGTATTACTGTAGATGGTGGGATCTTATCTGGTATTGTTATTATTCTCTTGACATAGATTTTTACGTTTATTATTCATGCCTTCATGATCGGTGCCGTTTTATCGCTCGTCTTTGTGGTTTTTATTATGTGTAGGAAAAGATTAATAATCTGAAAAAAGCAGTAAATTATTTTTAAAAATTACATATTTGGAACATTCTGAAGAGGGATTTATTAGCATTTAATTTTAGGTTTATTCCATTTACAACCAAAAACTGATAGTGAAACGAACCACAATTATGAGGGTAAAATGCATATTCCTCGAACTGAAAAATTGCAGATATTTCTTACTAGGGGTTTCTCGTGGGGCAGACACTTTGTAACACCTTGAGAAGTAAGTGTTATCAGTTAAAGTTAAAATCCTGTCCCTTACAAATAATATTCAGAAACATGAGAGCTGGATGCCAATCTCTCATACAAAAGATCCTCTATTTATCTTTGGTATTAAAAGTATATGTTACTCATCAGTGTAAGAAAGTTAATCATTTAGTGTTATTTTTTATTTTATCAGTATGGCTTAGCAACAATTTGCAGCAGGTGTTATTTTATATCATAAATGTGAAAAATAAACTGTTTCTAATACCATGTAATATATTAATTGCAAAATATCTTAACACTCCTTTTGTACTCTTAACATTCAAAATAAAATCAGTGATGATGAAATTTTTAGTAATGGGGAAACTGCAGTCATATACATATATTATTCAATTGGTTAATATGATCCTATTAATTTGATAGTTTTCTGTTTACACCATTTTACGGTCAAAAAAGAAAATATTGGAACATTTAAAATTTTAATTCTTTTCTGAGCTTCTTTTTATTCGGCAAAAAAAGTTTTAGTTTTATGAGATTACAAAGTAAATATTTTTGTTTAGAAAGTGATCTATATTTATTTTTTGTAGTTTTAAATTATTGAATTAGTTTTAAAATGTTTTGTAGTAAATCTTTTGAATATTGGACTATAATCTGAAGTTCGCCAATCCAAAGTTGTTTAAAGTTTGTTAATATGTCATTGCAAGATTTCTACTTAAACACTTTTTCATTCTTTTTTCACTTAGCTTGTTGATCGTTTTTATTTTCTTTTTCTTTTTTTGCTCTTAGATTCTGTCTTAGTTTGACAAACTGACATTCCACAACCAAAAATTTAACCAGATGTTTGTTTTAAAAAAACAAATTAACATTAAAAACATTTTTTTCTGTTTCATTGCTAATTCTATTTTGTTTGATTTTTAGAGTTAAGAATCTCTCATTGTAAACATACCTATTTGTAATCAGTTGGTGTTTAGATCATAATGCCTTTTACTATGTGTTTCTTTTTCACTATTTTTGTTTAATTAAATTGTAAAAGTAATTTGTTCTGTGCATGAAATTTTAAATAATGTTTAAATTCTGTAAAGTAATGTACCTGTCTTTATGTTATTTATTTATTTTCTAATTTAGAAACCTGTATTCATAAATGTTGGTCGAGGAAGTATTATCTCTGAAAAAGAACTCATTAGAGCTCTCAGGTATTTTTTTGTTTTTGTTTTGTGTAAATCTTTCTTCAAATTATTAAAATCAGTGCAAATAAAATAATAATATATAAATTAATTCAAATTACTGCTCAGAATCAGTAATTGAAAATTATTTTGTATCATTTGCATTTCAAATTTAGGAATGATTGGATATCATGTGCTGTCTTGGATGTTTTTGAGCAGGAACCTCTGCCTCAGTCCAGTGAACTATGGAAAATGTCTCAGGTGCATAAATTTTACTCCCTTTTTTCTTAAAAAGCTTTTTTTTTTCTTTTTTTTTTTCTATTTTTTAATTCTAGGTAAGCACCACAAATTGTTTTGTCTTTTAACTTAAGTGATAACTTATTTCTAAATTGTTCTTGGTGTGTTGTACTCATGAGTCATGTTGTAATATCAGTTGAACAATTTAGAAAAATGAATGCAAAATTCAATTACAATCCAAGTGCAAATGGCAAGTTTTGGATTCTTGAGCCATAACCATGTGGGGAAAATCTGGTTTCATTTAGTCTTGAAAGCATAAGTTTCCACATTGAGGCTGTCATAATGCACTGTTGTAAAGCTTTATCTCGTATATGCTAGTTGACTTGATTAATGGAGGCAGAAAAAAGGTGTCTTAATAGCATATGTCACTTGCATTGGATGCTAATATTTTTGGAAATTAAAATTATATCCAGCTGATAGAATTTACTGCAAACCTAGAGCCTAAAATAGTGGGATTAAAGTAAAGTGACTTGTTCTGTCATCACACAGTTGAATTCATTGTATAGAAATTATAAATGTAAAAGTAGGTTTCTGTATTGCAGTGCTGATATGAAATTCATAGCAACTAGACTCATGTTTTATATATTTGATCAATCTGAATTGTGCAAGTACCTCATAATGCACTAAAATGTGCCAGATGGAGTGTTGACGATTAAAAATATGTAGATCAGATTAATGCTTCAGACTACATCGAGTTGGTTGGAATCTGTATCTATGACAACAGTATAAAACAGTGTATTCTGTATACATTGTGCACTCTCCTGGATGGTGAGAATTGGCTGACCAGTGTATGATTGCTGTGTGTTGAGATGTCCTGTGTAAGAGACTATGGACACTTTTGTGTGCTGTTTTTCTTCTTTTAAGAGAGCAATGTGCTCCATGGTGGTAATGGAAGGAACCATTTATGAAGTAACTATTGAAAGTAAATTTAAGTAATTAAAACTATCGAAAGTAAATTTTTACAGAATGAGAGTTATGGTGTGGCTACACATTTCCTTGATTTTTTAATTTAATCAAGCATTTATTATGCCATATTCTTTCTAAGCTATGCTGATGAAAGGGAAATTTTCTTAAACTATTTTAAATCCCAGAGGTATTGAAAACGTTATGCAGAAGCTGGTCAAATGATATCATGATGCTTGACGTATGTACACTGCAGAAGGCTGAGCCATCTTTATAATAGAGTTAAATGTGTTTTATATGATTATCAGAGGTTTTTAAATACCTGTAATGTAAGAAAGGAGTTCAACTCATGTGCTCCTACAAACATAGATGTTATTAAATTTATTTTCTAACTGAAATACTGCTAGTTTTTAAAATTGAAAATAGTTTGTAATATGTTAGTTAATAGTTTATATTACTGTTGCTATATTTTAATCCTATTATTTTATTAATGTTTATAAAGGTTGTCAGTTTTTATTAAACAAAGGTAACTGAAATAATGGTAATTAGAAATAAAATATGTCATTTATATGGTTTATGTTAAAAAAAAGTAATAAAGTGACAAACAAGAATTTCTGAAATTTAATGCACTGAATTCAGCAGAACTGAAATGCATAGTTTGTTACAGATTATAATCAAATACAGTGGGTCATTTTGACATGGAATCTTAGTAGCTTAATCACACTAAGTAGGACTCGAACATATAAGAGAGAAAATACATCTGTAGTACTGCAATGTATCCATTAGATATAGTATGTTCAATAATGATTTGGACTTATACTCTTGTTCCAGTGTAGTAAATGATGGAATATGGTAGACGTTTGTTTCAGATGGTGATGTTAGTTTAACATTCTGATGCAAAATAACTTGCTTAGTCCCAGTAGCAGAGCAGCAGTAAGTCATAATGTGCTGTAAACTGTAGACAAATGTATACATGGGGCAATGGATGGTCATGCATATTGTCAGAAGTGTGCTGTGTGGTTTTATTGGAAAGAAGGGCTTTCAGCAGCCTAGTGGCTGTATGTGGTGAGTAAGCTTCTGCACAAAGCTCTGTATTTAACCTAGTTAGGAACTTCAGCATGGAATATATATCACAGCTTTGCTTAGTATTGGAGCAGCAAAGGCAATCTGAAAGGATATTATATTAATAGCCTATGGTAGTTCATAGTGTCATCAACCATACAGAAAACACTGCATATGCTGCAACATATGCTGCAAAAGCCAGCACCTTACTTTATGCCACAGCTGACTGCATGATATTAAATACTGTACCGAGCTGGTATCAGAAACATGAATATTCAGCCTCAGCAGAATAATTAATGTGAAGTTGTTTATTTCTATGAAATCCATTTCTTCCTAGTCTTGGGATGAGGAGGATTGGGTGTCCAGAATTAAAAAATCCTATTTCAAAGCTGCCTACAGGCGAAACCAGTCATCAGAAATGTGAAATTTTGTGACGGACGTAAGGAAGGGATGGGAAGTCTTTCAGCGAAAAACATTAGTTACAAATATCACCACTAGAGGGAATAGTATTCATCAATGACATATTTAGCCACACTTTTACAATAGTTTTACTATTTTATAAATTGTATTACAACAAAACATGTTCCACATAATGGTCATCATTTTCAACTACCATCTGAAATTGCAAAATGGGATGTTCCACACTTTACCGAAGTGTGTGCTGGGAAATATTAAGCACTTGGCGTGAAATGCTGATTTCAAGATCAGGTAAAGTTCTTGGATTGTCATGACATACCTGATGTCTCAAATGCCCCCAAAGCCAAAAATCACATAAATTCATGGATTGATGTCTGGGGATCGGAGAGGCCATGTGTTACAAAAGTGCCATCTGTTGTTCTGTAAAAAGGTTTAAGAATATTCATAACTCACCGTGCAATATATGGAGAACCTCCATCTTGCATAAAGATTGTGTGTGCAAAGTGCTAATGGGCTTGCAGAACACAAATAACTGCAATGTATATTGTTGCTCGCAGATCGAGCAAATCACTGCATTTGAAGAACTTAATTCTTTGAAGAAGTATGGTCCAAAAATAAATGATGCAGAAAATCCACCCTATCACATCACTGCTAGTGAATGCAACAAAACCTCCAAGATAGGGAGTGGATTTTCTGGTTCCCAAATTCAAGACTTCAATGGTGATAGATGTGTTTTTATGAGCTTTTGAAGGATACAGTTCGGATTGCATAAAAATTATTTTTAGTGGATAAGTTTTATATCATTGTAAAGCCCTTCAAAAGATGAACAAAATGATATAAAATATCAGAACTGTGGGTTCAAGCATCAAGAAGTTATTCATATTTGAATTCTGCAAAGTTGTAAGTCTGTCAATTTTAACAATACTTAACATTAAAACAGAACATTAACGTCTATAATCAGACCTTTAAACTATTACCTACAGCTTGAATTTTTAATATAAAAATTTTTTATACAGTTTAATAGCCTTTATTTTTATCTTTCATATTATATAAGTTTTGTGTAAAAACATTTCTGTTTGTATGAATTGTTAACTAAAATATTGAGTTTTGGTCAATATTTATTTTTAAAATCAATAGAAAAACCACTGTTGGTTCAAACTTAAGTAAAAGACTATAAAGTAGTACATGCAAAAAATATTTTATAAACAATTGTCTTAATAATATTAAAATATCTTTATTAAAATATTTATTTAATAACAATGAAATTTAACAAGGATTTAAACAGCTAAATTATTAATCTTGGTAAAATCACAACAGTAATAAAATTAAATGTTTAAAAGCAAAGATGTGTAGCAATAATTAGTATAAATATGCTATCCAATATATTGCTTAATAATATAACCAGTAATAACAATTGATTTAGGTACTGTAAATATCTTCTACCATATACAATTTAAATTGATCTTATTGCAATGTATTACAAAAAAATTTGTAATTCATAAAGTTGTACAGCAAAACTAAGCTAGCATATTATCATAAAAGCCGAAGATTAAAAAAATCAAGGTCTTGCAATGTATTATCACTAGACTTATCCAACACAACTTTTTGCATGCTTATTGAACCAAGAATTACACACCAGTGCCTAGATCTATCTAAAATTCATATGGTGTCTCCTTTTAACAATGCTACTCAAAATGAAATAAATAATTATGAAAATATAGAACAGAAGATTCAAGGTGCTTATGAAGAATGTATATGACTTTTAAAAATGCTGCAAAACATGTTTATCAAATGACATATTCCTAAAAATAGTCCTTAATTGATTTTATGAGAGACTGCAGAATATAGTCAGCTCTAAATACAAATATAAATATTTTGGTAATAAATCCCTAAACAACTAAATTTTTAACTTAACCTTCAGCTTAATATCAACATAAATAAAATTAAATATAATATTTTTAATCTTAATAAAATCGCAACAGTTGTAAAATTAAGTATTTAAAAGCAAAGATGTTGAAAAACTAAATAGTGTAAATATACTAATATATTGCTTAATCCTCTTGCTGCACATCCTGCAATTTCCATGGGCAATGTAGAAGTGACAGAATTTGCACAATCCATGATTTCCACAGGGATGATTCCATCTATTTAAATGTGCAACCTGCTCTTTTCCCATCTATGGTTTCATTTTGTGTTGTTTAATTGTTTATTCAGATCTGGGTTAATAAGTGGCGTCAATTGTCCATATTTCTGTGAAATATGCCAGCAATATGTGCTCTTTTCAAGGCTCAAGGGTGTCTGTAGTTCAACGCTCAATCCCATGAGACTAACTGCTCAATATTTTGCTAATCATATACACCCAAATCCCATCAAGAAAGAGCATCGAAGACAATGTGCTATTTGTTGCTTAAAAAAAAAAAAAAAAAAAAAACGTAACTAGCAAAAACGTTCACAAAGAAACATGAAATTGAGTGCAAAGATCGCGAGGTAGGATTTTGCCTCGAGCCTTATTCCGAAGTTTATTGTACACTAAACTTCATTTCTAATAAATGTTTTATAAGTATTTTGCATATTTTCATTAT